AAAACAGATTTGAGAATTCTGGTAGTGCAAAAATATTTCATTCTCAGACAATATTCGTGAAATCTCAAGTCTTCACCTGCGAAGGAGATGAAAGTCTAATGAGAACTTCAGGACTGGAAAATCAAGGAACCACTCAGACTCTGAAATAGACAAGGAAAAGAAATGCCATCGGTGTTCTCAGTGCTATTATTGGAGAGGCTGTTTGTTCAAATTGCTGTTTTCGATATCTTATGAATCAACAAAAAGAAAAAAAGGAGCCTTGAAAATGTTTTGAAAAAGTGTTTGATATTATTGATTTGGCTATTTTAACCTATGAAGTGGAATGTTATTCTTTGTCAATGTGTAAGTCTTCAAGGAAATCTAGTCTATTGAAATTTTTGGAAGATTTTCAAAATTGGATGTTAATAATGACTGAAGGCACGCATAGCTCAACATTAAAATAGTAAGAAAAAATCTGTATTTGGACAACCCTTGAGATTTCATTACCATAATTTCAGTCCTAATAGAAATTCAGATATTATACATGAAGTCACTTCCAGAAATTTCGATAGACTATATCGCCCTGGAGATTTACACATTGACATAAAATAAAGAAACAACCTTGACTATTGTTTGATTAACCAGGTTAATTTCAACAGATCTTACATTCCACTCCATAGACGGTTGAAATAGCCATATTGATTTAAACAAAACTTGCTTCACAGAATTCTCAACTCCACTTTTCTCTATGATGATTCAAATAGATATTCGAAACAGCAATTTGAAAACTTTTTTTCCAAGCAATCTCTATAGAAGCACTGAGAACACCGATGGTTTTTCTTTTCCTCTTCTATTTGAGATTCTGAGTTCGATTTCCCATTCTCGAACGTCAAGGAAGTCCTTATTAGACTTATACTTCCTCCGCAGGTGGAGGCTTGAGGTTTCACAAAGATTTCTGATAATGAAACATGTTTTCACTACCAGCATTCTCCAATTTTGGTCATTAAATAGTTTGTCAGATAGATACAAAAAATGTTGCAACATTTGATTACATCTGGACTGACTCGAGTGAGCTCTAATTAGGCTCGTGTAGGTCTCTCTGGTGTACTCACTTGTTGACTTGTTGCATTTTCAATTATTCAGATTACTGAGTGAGTTGTTGGATAGTTCCTCCTTAGACCCGTACAAACGCACATTGGAGATTTGGTTTTTTATCCGTCATTTTCATATTGTTTTTTTTTATGTTCTGGCTCCCACGAAAAGGGATATCCTGTAATGTTCAGAGAGCATCGCGTGAGAACCATTACATTCATTTATTGTTTCCAACCATGATTTCTCGACTATTCCTCTGACATATGTCATGTCGATTATCGTGTATGTCATGTCAGATGTCAAACTCAATTATCAAGCTCACTTCAACCAGACATTATGTTGCAGCCATGGCAGCTGCTTGTATACAGGGTGTTTCATAATTGAATGCTAATCCTTGAGGGCGATAATCCTTGGATGATTTCAAAGAGAAAAGTTAATTTCAACATATGTCCTAAACCTCTTAGTTATTGAGCTACAGGGTGATGAAATTTCAAGGAAAAAATGAGTTTTTCATCATAATTTTTTATCACTCTTAGATATTGTCATGATATTTTGTATACACCTTCTCATTATTAAGGAGCATTTTTTTACGTGAAAGATATTTGAAAATTCTCACCAGTGGCGTCCGTACGGGGTTTGAACTGACAATTTTTGAAGAAAAAAATAGTACGCCACTGATTTCTCTGAGAACCAGATTTTTTTTTCAATTCTCATTCATTTTGGAGCAAATTTGGTTCCAAGATTTACTTTCATACTACGTACCGTTTTCGCGTAAAAAAATAAAAACCAAAGAATTTTGTTCCTTCAGTTCTTGGATATTGTTTTTGGTAATTCAGTAGACACCCACTATAAGTGGAAACACATTTTGTTCTGGGACGAAAATCAAGCATTTACTTTTACCAGTGATGTTCTCGTAGACCTGATATTGAATGTTTAGTTTAAATAAACGCTGTACGCTTCTTATTTCAACACCCTGTAGCACAAAAACTAAGAGGTTCAGGACATATGTTGATATAAACTTCTCTCCTTAAAATCATCCATGGATCATCTCCCATTAGGATTAGCATTCAATTATGAAACACCCTGTATAATATATACAGGGTGTTTCTTAAGTACGTGTAGAAAATTCAGGAGCATGTAGCTGACGTCAAAATAAGAAGAAAATTTCGTATGAATATATGTCCGAAAGTTATTCGTTTCTGAGATACAGAGTGTCAAAGTTGAATTTAAATTTTTGATTTTTGCTAATAAATTCCAAAATCATGTGATATTCGAATAAGAATCGATATTTGGGGGTATTTTTCAATGACAATATCAAATGTTATGTTAGTTTGTCTCTTTCGTGGGGGTGGCGCCACCTACATCTCTTTTTTGAGTCTTTTGAAAAGTCAAAACTTTTTTCTGCGTACCTGTATCACGTTTTATAGTAATAAAAAAGTGTTCGTGAAAAATATATTTCTGGTGAAGGTCGCTGCGAGCAACTGTTTTTGAGTTATTGGGATTTGAAATAATCGATGCATTTGAATTATTTCCATGGGGCTCGTAAGATTTTGCGCAATTCTTCTCGTGTTCTCGTGTCGATTGCTTGAAGAACAGCTTCTTCAATTTCTGGAGTTCTAGTAGTCAACGGTCTGCCTATCACTGGAGCTTTTTTAAAGGATCCAGAATCTGCAAGACGCTGAAAGAGGTTTCTTAAAGTCTAGTGATTCGGCAGTCGATGATTAGGAAATCTTCCATTTGATTAGTTTTTTTCTAATTGGCAGAGTCCAAAAAATAGGCACAAAGGAGTAAGAATCATCTTTAGCCGATATTCCAATGTTGAATGTGGGAGAATATTGAATGAAGGAAGAAAATTGCACTGACGTATATTTCCTGATATTTACTACTTAGAGGCGACTAACGAGCCCTATGGAAATAATTCAAATGCATAGATTATTTCAAATCCCAATAACACGAAAACAGTTGATCGCAGCGACCTCTACCAGGAATATGTTTTTTACACAAGAGTGTTCTAGAACTTCATTTTTCTACTATACCTAATACATGATACAAGTACGCACAAAGAAGTAATGACTTTTCAAAAGACTCTCAAGACATGTAGGTATTGTAGGTGGCGCAACCCCCACGAAAGAGACGATTCAACATAAAATTTGATAGTATCATTGAAAAGTACCCCTAGATACCAAACTTTATTCGAATATCACAATTATTTCGAAATTTATCAACAAAAAACAAAAATAAAAATTCAACTTCAACACTCTGTATTTCAGAAACAAAGAACTTTTGGACGCATATTTATGCAAACTTTTCTTCTTATTTTGACCTCAGCAACATGCTTCTTAATTTTTCACAAGTACTTAAGAAACACCCTATATAATGTTATTTCATTTCATTCCATTTTGGAAAACAAATTTCAATCTGTTCATACCGTTGTAAGCCAATATAATGATAATGAGGAACAGGACCAAAGATATTTTCATGGATATTTTTCTTGTCAACCTGACAACTGACAACTGACACCAATTTTCAAATTTGAATTCAACATTCTTCCATTTTCTGATGTGCCTTCTGAATATTTATGAGTTGATTAACTTTAACTGATTTTCAAATTCAACAATTTTTTTGAAAAAATTGTGTTCTAATTCTTTTTCAAATAGCTGTAAGCTGATAACTCACTTACAGGTACTGATGACTGTATAGTCGAAAACACTCTGCTACGAAAAAATCGAATGAATTATTTTGCACGAGATACATTGAGTATAAATTATAGTAAATCAGCATTGATGTTCATCTGAATAAAATCAAGATATAATGCGTACAAATTTCCAATTGCATGTAATGATGGAGTCATCAAATCTTCAGATAATATCAAGTTTCTTGTGATGTACACAGATGAACATTTGTCATGGTCAAAACATATTGAAATATACTTAGGAAAAAATATCTCCAATGATAGGTATACTTTTCATGGTACGGAATCAAGTTCCTATGAAATGTCTCAAATATTTGTCTTTGATCTATTCTAAACTTGAATATTTGATTTCTTTATGGGTTTCAACAAAACTATCAATTATAAAGCCTCTCAAAACTCTTCAAAATAAAATTATCAAATGTATATACAGACTAAATAATTCGGAACCTACTATGAACCTTTACAGAAGAAGAGAGTTTTTAGATATAGATTCACTATATAAATCCATATGAATGTCGTTCATTCATTTAGTTGAACATTTTCAAAAGCATTCGAATTTGGTTCTCCAAATTAATAGTAATCACCACAACCATACAACTAGACAAGCAGATCATTTTTCTGTCAAGGAAATTGAATCAGAAATTGGTGAAACATCAATCTATCACACTGGAATGATACAAAACAATTAACTACCAAATAACTTGAAGCTGATTAATAGGATTGAAAAATTCAAAAAATAATTCAGGAAACATCTACTCTTGTGATATTGACATCTTTGCCCATTTTTATAAATTTCTTGTACAACTACTATAGTTTTCTATTGGGTGCCTAACAGCTGAGTCAATTGAGAATCATTTTCAGTTTAACTTGAAAACAAAAAGATTCTTCTTGAGTGTGAGTCTTATTTTACTGTCTTCTTCATTTTATTTTGTCAAATATATTTATGTATCCACCATGTTCCCTGCTATAAACAAATGTTGTTTCTTGGGAATAATAAAGTTGATTGATTGATTGATTTTGTACAACGGTTTTGTTTATCTACACGTGCAGACAGTATAAAAAAAGTCAACTTCATGAATATTAAGGAAATCATATGAATTAACGATTCTCAACATTTGCCAAGAATCCAATGTTTTTTTTTGTGAACGTTTTTGAATAGACTGATATTATTATTATCAATAATAATCAGATGTAAGCATATCAGGAGATTTTTCTGTGTGTCAAATGTTAAACATACCTTCGGATTGTTCTCTAAGTAGTTGAACAAAACACTGACACTGATGGTCAAATCTCCGACATTGAATGGATAGTTTCTATTCCATCCTTGGGGCCCAAATTTCCTCCTCTCAGCCACCACTGCATGAAAATAGCAGAGAGCAAATAGGATAGCCTTGAATTCTGCCTCCTTGCCCGACATTTCCAATGTTTCCTGATTGAAATTATCAAGGGCTTTATGTAAATTCGCGAACATTCCAGTTGGAGGCTCATTCGTGATTTTGATTGAGGATTCCAGAATGCCTTGAGGTATGACACATTCGTGAGGATCTGCAGAAGGTTCAGCACTCAGATATAACCTAAAACGATAGAACTGAAATACTGATCATGATTCCAATAATCAACATGTTTACCTGTAGTTCTCTTGAGCACTATCACTACATTGTTCCATCTTTTTCTCTAGTGTAGCCAACCATTTCTGAACCAAATGTATATTTTGAAGGATGACCCAATGTCCTTCTACCGATGCCAAATCCATAGCATTTTCGGCAACTATTTCTTGCCCTTGTCCCAGAGACACACTGTGAAAATTGCCTTTGTCAAACATGAACCCAAGCTTCTTTCCTAACCTCTCGACATCTTTCAGCGGATTGACACCAGGTGATAATATGAAGAATGTAGGTGTTGAAGAACTGGATTCTTCATAGGATTTCTCAAATTCAACACTTCGTGCTGTGACAAACTTCGTCCCCATTTTTTCATCAATAAATACGCTTACAGCATAAGTCATCCTATCTGGCCTCAAACAACGCATTATACACAGCCTCTGAAGAGTAGTTTTGTTCTTCCATTCACCAGGGAACTTTTCTTTTTCAGGACATTCACTATCAACGAACTTTCTCCACCTCTTAGCAGAACCCTCCAAATCTTTGTCTAAGCTCTTGAACTCATCCATCAATGATAAAGCTTTGATACCTCCCCAACATATATTGTTCAAAAAATCTACGGGTGACGTGAGATTAGCTATGGCTGGAAATCTCAAAAGGAAATCTAGTTCTTCTGGTTCGATTTCCGCAAGCTGCAAAAGTATTTGGAATGCCATTTGAGCAGTGAATATCAGCTTATCTTTCTCGAAAAGTCCACGTGATGTATACATGAAAACAGAAAACGTTATACTGTCGAGTAGGTTGATTACCCTATCTTTGAGTTTTTCTCCTGGTAATGCCTTAGATAGAGCATCTTTGAATACAACGCTGAATGCTTTCAGAGAAAATTGATAAATTGCATTTATCCTATTCAAATCATTGAGAATAAAGTATAGAAGGGAAGCTCGTGCTGCACAAGGTCGATAATGCTCCCTTGCTTCGTCTATTTTGACGGAGGTTATTTTCGCTTCTTCTACCTTCACTGCTATTTCATTTGCTGTTTTCTTAGTAGTTTCCAAATTGATAACAAGTTCTATATCTTCTAGTATATTACCTTCTGCTGAAGATAATCTATATAACAAGTTAGCCTCACAAGTTTTCAAAGTGATTTTGAAATCATTCTGTTGTTTGGTTAAAGAAGATTTGAGTGTTTCAAGATCTGGTCTTTCAGCTTTCACAACTTCTGCTAACAATTGTTCTTCCAAACCATCCCTAGTCACAGTGAAGTTGATAAGAGTAGTTTGAGCTTGAATTTCAGGTTTATAGTGCGGATTTGCGAGCTTAGTATGAATAATCATCCTGAAGTTTGGATTGTAATCCACTTCTTTGTCTCCAATTTTGATACATCGTCCTTTCTTGATCAATACCCTCCCAAGCACTGGATCCAGAACAGCATCTATATTCTCTCCAATATTCTCTAGCAAAACTACCAAGCCCTCAGAAATACATTTTTCAATTGTATCCAGGTAAGTTCTTTGTGTAAGTCTCACAACTTTTAATGCATCTCCATATCTAGTTTTGATCCACTTAATACCTTGTAGTTGAGGGTCAATCATCAATGGCCACCTAGAAGAGTTACTCAGGATACACGCATTCTCAGTTGACATGCGATCGGTTGGCAACCCTTCATTATTCCACTGGGCAATTTTCGCATCATCTGTCAAAAGTGACAAGGGATCAAGTCCTTCCGTCATGGGTATTGGAACTGCCAAAGTAGAAAGAAATGGTTTCCAATATTTATACATCAGATCAGTGCGATATTTTTTTGTGAAACACCCTACATATGAAATGAACGCTGTAACCATCAATGTGTCTCCCGGTAATGTCACCGTTGATTCATTATACATCTTCACAAGTTCTTTCCATCTGACGTTTTCTGAAGCCAAACCACCCACGAGTCGATTAGCTATATCAATTTTTTGCGCTGTCTCGTCAGCTTCTGCTTGACACTTGAGCTTGGCATTGATAGCTTCATCATAGCCCTCTTTCAATATCGATAATTGCCTCTCCAATTCAGTCAATTTTTCATTCAAGTCAGCTAGTTTTCCTCGCGCTTCTGCTAGATCTCTATTAGCAGCAGCTAAGGCCTTTCTCTTCGGTTCCACTACAACAAATACTTCGTAGTATTTCACAATATTTATGACCCAAGCACACAGACCTGCAGCTGCGAATGATTTGCTTATAATTTTTTCAGGAGTAAAATCTGGTAATTTCGTATATTCTAGAACAGCCTTGATGACATCTGGCGATATGTTATCCTTGTCATAGTTGATGAGATCGTTCAGAAATTGGTCCACTTTTGCCATGATAGTTTTGCATTCTTTCCAACCTCGATCTTTCGGTATCTTACCTTTCTTAGAAAATAAAACTAATACAGCCGCACACACAATCACAACAGCATCTGGAGGAGTTCCAAATGATTTCAATTCTGTGAGGTTATTTTTGTTCAACGTATTCAGAGCAGCTTGAGCTGCTATCAGAGCTGGTTCTGCTTTCATCAGATCATCTTGACAAGTTTTAGCCTTAATTGTTACGTCTTCTTCTATAACTTTAACTTTGGCCTCCTCTTCGCTGGCAATTTCTTGTTCTTTAGCAACTTTCTCATTTTCAGCTGATAATACAGCGATCAACTTAGAAGCAGCTTCATTTTTTTCACCAAGTACTACTTCTTGTACTGCAAGTACTTCTTTGAGCCCATCCACTTCTAGAGATGTAGATGCCAGTTTTGTTATACCGTTTTCTAATCTCTCGATATTGCCCTTTATATCGAGGGTTTTTTCTGTCAACAGCTTCGAGTATAAGTCAATTTGTTCCAGGAATGACTTTGGTGTGGTATAGTTATATCGTTTTTCATTCGTCAGGTACACTTGTGACATTTCGTTCACTATCGAATGAACGTATGACATGAAATATGAAACCGAATCTACCAGCGATTTTGGCAAGACTTCTATTTCAGACAGAAAAATTTTTGATACTGATTGCAATGCTTCTTTTGGCCATTCATGGAACCAATCGATAGATGTACAATTCACTAAAGCGGGGAACTTTCTCGATCGAACTCTCAGGGTAGTGCCTACTGGTGAAAAACATAATACAATCTTCAATAGCCTCCTTACTCGATCAATGAAAAATCTCCAACAATTCTCCCTAGTATCTTGCAATCCAACTCCTTTTACTTCACCTCTCATAGCACTGATAACATTCTCTACATCTTCGTCTGGCAAAAGCTCACTTATTTCTCCAGATGCAAGCATGTCATTGACAAGTACTAGGAACGATTCTTCTGGTACTTGAGCATCTGTCATCAGAAAAACTATGCCAACACTTTTGAGTCCTGCCTTCAAGTATAGAGCAGCTATGTCGGCTTTCATATCGTTCATTGAATAACCTTTTTTCAGTTGGATTTGAAAAACTTCAAAGGAAGAAATAAATGCTGCCAGTCTAGTAAGAGACTGCTTTCCAGATCCTCCTACGCCGACAAGTAAAGCATTACCTCTAGGTGCTTCCATGATACGATTTATTCGACAAATGTGATACATGGCATCTTCGAAAAGTACCAGATTCATAGCAGCTACGAGGTCATTGTAGCCTCCTAGCGCATCGTTGAGCAAGCGACTTAAATGATTGAAGTCAACTATTGGAAAGTATTTCGGATCTCCTATTCCTTCAGCAAAATGACAGTATATGAGAGGTACTGCGAATACCGAATTCTCGTCTAACTCTTCGAAACTCTTTTTGACCACCTCTATAACTAACTTGTTATATGTGTCGATGTCTCTTCGCTCAACCAGTTTGTCTCTATAAACCCTGCTAGCTTCGTGCATCCACAACCTTATGAAGTCAGTCTGATTATGTATAGCGTCTCCGGAAGCAAAGAGCATTCCTTGAAATATATTCGACATATCCCTTAAAGTGAAGGTATAGTGAAACTTGACTGCGGTTGGCAAAAACGTAGTTGCAACTTTTTGGTGAAGGGCAAGAGCAGCTTGCACCACGGTTGGGCACAACTTACCGATGTTGATATTGAACTTTTTAGTTGTATCATGCACATGCTGACTATAAATGGAATTGTAAATATGATATGATGCATCTTGCGATGGAAAACTCACCGCGAATACACAGAAATGTCTCTGCAGTCTCGGGTTTATTGTGAAGGAACCTGCTGTTGGATTCATAGCTGATACAAACTGAACATTATGGATGTCTTTCAGAGTGAGTTTCTGTCTGTCATACCAATGTTGATAGTCCATGAACTGTCGTATAAGAGTATGTGGTTGGACAGTGAAATATTTGTCTACTTCTGGCATGTTCATATCATCAACAAAGTAGATTAATGTTTTGCTGCCAGGTGGGCCATAGACTCGTCCAGCTTTCTTTTCCAATGGTTTCTCTAGGATTCTTTGAAGCATCTCAGAGGTTGTGTAAAAATTGAACGGAACATTCATGACAGCATAATTCTCTGAGAGTTTTCCCAGTTTTTCAGCAACCATAACCGTTTTGCCACTCCCAGCAGGTCCGACTAACATTACAGGTGCCTTTTTATTCATCAAATGGTCCATGAAGAATCTCACTCTAGTTGTTTCAGCAGTATTGACCAGAGTAGCTTGTAATGGAATATCAGAATCAAGCTCAAATTCAGGTACCAAGTCGGTCCATGGAAGAAATCTCTTGGTTTCTTCTTCGATATAGTAGCTGAAGACATTTCCACCGAGTGGAAACTTCACCGTTTTGAACTCGTTGGTAAACCATTTGCTGAATTCGTTTCTCCAATCTATGATTTGATCTTGGAAGAGAGCTGAACCGAAAGCCCAAACAACAGAGAATGCAAAGTATATCTCATACCAATCTTTGGGACAGTCCGGAGGTACGTTTATAGGTGTCAGGAAACAGTCCAGTAGCAAACATAACATCTGCAGATGAGCGATATCGGAGATGGGAGTGATCTTCTTGAATTTGTTCCTTACTGCATCTAAACACGGAGGAACATACTTGTCGAACAAAATCATGAGGTTAGCTTTTTCACTTTGAACTTCTCTTGTATCTATCCAAGAGGCTATAAAGGGGTTCCAGCCCAAATCTGCAGGATTGATATATAGAATTCCGGCCCTGGATACCGTAGCTGGGGTTGCTGTCCTCAAATTAGCTATCTCAAAAAGCAGTCTCATAGCCGGGGTCAGGGCAATTCGTTCGTTGCTCGCCAGGGTCAGAATTTTGTTATCATCCATGAGAGTATTCAAAGATTCGATCCACATCGGGTCTATGTCACCATCTGGAATGATTCAAAGCGTCTGATCAAATATTCGAGGAACAACATGCAAAGAAATATTCTATTTCATTTTCATATTCAGGCGACATTTACCTAAAACAATCCACTTTGGTCCATCTCCTGACAAATTAGTCTGTTCTCTCATGATCACGGAGAACAACCCATCTTTCCATTCTCTGGTGGCAGGATTGATGACGCCAAACAGCTCGTCATTGGTGACTGCCTTCGGGTTGAGGTCGTTGTAGAACGGCTTCCTCTTCTGGTTGGCGTACGTCCGATTCAGCGTCTTCCAAACCATCGATTTGCCGGTACCTAAAATTTCACATTGTCAATGTGGATAGCTGGTAGTTATTTATCAATTATTTCGATAATATCAGATGACCAAACTGATGGATTCAGCAATTAATATCAACAGTTAACCCTATGTTTTAAAATTTCAATACTCAGGCTCGATCATTCGTTGTGTAAATTGATTGATTGGTACTAGACATATAATATTCGATAATTTAGATGAAGCAGAGCAAGCTAGTAAACGTACAAATTCCACGACTGTGCTTCACCATTCAAAAATATACCGCCGCAGGGCAGTCTGCAATCTCTGTCATTTCGATAAATACTTTCATAGTGAATGTTCGGTAGGGACCCATCATTCAATCACTTGTAATACCAAACTCATTAAGCTCAATGAACACAACCTCTAGTCATCATTCTCGATATATTTCGAAAAACCCTCTTCCAAAATTCGTTGATCTATAGAAACGGCGAAGCTTTGGTATTTTGTACCTGTGGAAGTATTTCCTAGAACTCTAACCTGGGAACTCAGATACGCACGATATTCCACGGACGTGATAATTGGCATTCGATCATCTTTGCTTCAGAAGATGAGAAAAATGGACAGTGATCGATGTGTTACGATCTGATTATATTCATCCTTTTACATTCACAATTGTTCCTTATTTCAACCCCTGAGCGCCAATTTCTCAATGAATCTTGGGATTTTGAAAGGATATGTCAGTGTTTTTTTTTCACAGTCACCTGGTACGTTCTCAGAGTTTGCAATATTTTCTGATGTAAAGCATCGCATTCCAGCAAAATATGATAGGGTGTTACGGGGTTCTATCCGTTGAATTCATAGGTGCTATCCTCTTCTATGTGCAGTTTTCTTTGGAGATATTGGAGTCTCCATGGGCCGTTATCGATTTCAAACCGCCTTGCGTAAGATTGGTGTGAATCGAAAAACAAAGTAATCGATGATTTCCCTATCATCAAAGAATGGTTTGATCAGAATTTATTAACAAATAATTTTGAAAAAACAAAATATATGACATTTACTTCCTATAAAAATTCTCAACCCAATTTAGGCACTATCAAGGTGAATAGAGAAATTGAAATTCAGGAAACTGACTGTATCAAATATCTTTGTATAATGATGGACAATAATCTGAAATGGGATCATCATATTGATTATGTCTCTCAGAAAATAAGACAATAGAGATAATATGAATTGTTGGGTACGCATACGAATTGTAGAGCGATTATTATTGAAAATGATTTCTTCTTAGAATATCAAATGATAATGATCTGCAAGGTGAGTACTCAGTAGACACCTATATGTTCATTCTGAAATATGCATCAGATCATTCTCGTCAGTCTTGAACATTTCATATTATCCTAGAGAATTGTCGAATTTTATGGCACATCATTGGAAAATCTAGACCCTCCTAGAACCATTTCGAATATTCAGGAATCTTGTGGCCAGTTTCTGCCACTTCTGTTATTCAGCATTTCCAGTTTCCTCACGAATCTTCCATCAGGAGTCTATCAACTTGATTCTTATTTATTACTGAAAATGTATTCCTTGGAAGAAGGAACTATGCCGAGTGAGTTAAGCACACAAGCGTCTATCTATAATTTCCATCAGTGACTCTCTGAATTTGGAAAGCGTGATAACTCAATATGAGGAATGAAAATATCCTCTGCCCAAGGAAGGAGACTACTTCGACTGAACAATCTAACCTAACTCGACAATAAGATCCACAGCTGGGTGTACAATTCGCTCCTTCGAAAACTGTTTCATGGAGTAAGAATTGCATCTCGCAGATATCGCATGTTGTCAGTGACTTACTCACTCACGAGATCAGATTGGTGAACATAAATCATGCGCATTCGGTACCTGAGATATATCTTACTCTTACTTATGTTCCCGAACACCAAGTGGAGCAATTTTTACTCGCGATCTTCGAGTTGCTGGGATATGACCACGAGGGTCTAGATGACGTCATCAAGGTACGCGCGAGAATTCAGTGAGCCACCGATAATAATGGTGTAGTAGCCAAACACATAAAGGTTGGTAGAACTAATATATTATTCTATAATATATCAGGGTGATTATATATTGATATTGACAGGGTTGCGGCATAACCACCATCTTGAATTCTTGGAATTACTTTCTGATGACGTTACATGGGGGCAAAAAGCCAACCTAGAAATATATTATGCCTTCTCGATTTTGTTTACCCAATTTGCTGAACTTGTTTTGTTGTCAACAATAAAAAAAATCAGTATCAGCAAATTCAGCAACACAAATGACTCGACCTATTATTTTATTGGAATAGGTAACAGATGCCGTCACGTGAGGGTGTTCCGAAAAATGAACATGACATCTTGACAAAGGTAACAGATCAAGAATGGAATACTAAATACTGAATACTGAATACTGAATACTGAATACTGAATACTGAATACTGAATACTGAATACTGAAACTGAAAACTGAAAACTGAATACTGAATACTGAATACTGAATATTGAATAGTGAATAGTGAATAGTAGTGAATAGTCAATACTGAATACTGAATACTGAATACTGAATACTGAATACTGAATACTGAATACTGAATACTGAATACTGAATACTGAATACTGAATACTGAATACTGAATACTAAGTACTGAATACTGAATACTGAATACTGAATACTGAATACTGAATACTGAATACTGAATACTGAATACTGAATACTGAATACTGAATACTGAATACTGAATACTGAATACTGAATACTGAATACTGAATACTGAATACTGAATACTGAATACTGAATACTGAATACTGAATACTGAATACTGAATACTGAATACTGAATACTGAATACTGAATACTGAATACTGAATACTGAATACTGAATACTGAATACTGAATAGTGAATAGTGAATATTGAATACTGAATACTGTATTCTGAATAGTGAATATAGTGAATATACTGAATACTGAATACTGAATACTGAATATTGAATAGTGAATAGTGAATAGTGAATAGTGAATAGTGAATAGTGAATAGTGAATAGTGAATAGTGAATAGTGAATAGTCAATACTGAATACTGAATATTGAATATTGAATAGTGAATAGTGAGTAGTGAATAGTGAATAGTGAATAGTCAATACTGATGAATACTGAATACTGAATACTGAATACTGAATACTGAATACTGCATACTGAATACTGAATAGAATACTGAATACTGAATACTGAATACTGAATACTGAATACTGAATACTGGATACTGAATACTGAATACTGAATACTGAATACTGAATACTGAATACTGAATACTGAATACTGAATATTAAATACTGATTACTGAATTCTCAATACTATCATTTTTATGCTTCAACCATCCGACAAAAATATGGGTTATAATTAATCTGACTACCTACTGTCTCAATCAGAGAAGAATACAAAATTATACACATCATTATGAATATTTCATTATTCACTTTTTGTCATTGTGAGAATCAGATTATATATTTTTGCGATGGCGATGGCGGGTGTCAGCATTATGAGCAAAATAAGAACTCTATAATATTTCACTGTTATCTCCTGAAGTATTCTCTTTCTTCCATTTTGGAAACAATCTGTATCAAGATGAAACAGATCTGATTCTGAATTGGGATTTTATGTTCAACTCTCTGGCTGCTGATGAAAACGTATCCACTGATTTCTGATTATATTTCGCGAACATGAGTGAAAATCGATATAACCTATCTCGCACTCATATTTATCATCATCCATCTACGTCTTCACACTCGATTTGTTCTAGTTATTTTTGAAGAACTTGTAGGTATATGACTTTTTTCATCATCAACCCATAAAATCAACCAGGAATCATAACACCAGTTTTGAGTTTATTGTGAAAAGGATATTTCCATGATCAGACAGCAGAAGCAGGAAAGTACAACACTGTCCTAAAAGTGACAGTTGACAGCCACGAATGTGATTTGCCCAATGGAGGTATACTGGGACTCCGTTTTTCTCATCGAATATGAAGGAATGAGACGTTTCATAGGTTTATTATCCATTTTCTCGTATATACAGGGTGAGTCATGACTAACCAGCCATAGCCCAAAGGCGGATAAAGGTAGTCAAGATGAGTTGATATACAGGGTGTTTAAACACCACCCAGGGTAGGTAGAACATTGCGAAATAAGTTGGGTTTGCTAGGTGGAAAATTGTCGTGATGGCTTCCGTTTTCAAGATACAAGCTGTTGAAAAAAAAATGTTTTTTCTGTGACGGGAAAAAAGTTTGGCATTTCATCTCTGTTGGCAGGTTATAAAATGTCACTTTTCATAAATTACTTTTTTCCCGTGGGAAAAAAGTGAGTACTTTTTTCCCGGATATATATCACATATATATACTCTGTTAATGGCTTTTGTTGTGCTATAGTTCCGAAAAATGAGTCAATAATACCGTCTCCGAGAAAGAACTGCAAGTCCTTTTATCTTCCATTCGACTTCGCGGTTTCGTATATTACTAAACAACTACTGAATTCGCAATTTTTTAAAATCAAATCACAGAATTGAACTGACAGAAGTGACATCAGATATTTGATTACTTCAAAAGAATGATAAAGATGCCTATAAAACGCAGGTGTCCCTCCTGTTAAAAACTTGAAATTTCACGTTGATAATTTTCAGATTTCGAAATAATGTAATATCTTCTCAATATTGATTCGTCCTTCCTTCTGTCACAGAAAAAAATAGTGTATTATTCACGGGAAAAATATTAGATTTTAGCTCACGGTTTTTTGTCTCCCTCCGCTACGCGTCGGGAGACAACACAACCTGGAGCTAAAATCAACTACTTTTTTCCCTTGTATAATAATTAAATAACTATTTAAACATTTTTTACGATTATGTCGAAACTACTGGCAACATTGTGATGTAATTTCCTATGGATGTGTTCTGAATTCAGACACATCGCATGAATTTGTTTTTATTTCTGACACTCATAGAGGGCGCTAGTTACATGGTT